TACCGATAATCATAAAAATGCTTAATATCGGCGCCGAAAATCGGTCGACCCCTAATAATTATAATAACTAATATTAATATAATCTGTAAAATGTTAATTTATATGAATTTTTATGTATATATATATGTATTATTAATATATTATATATAATATTAATAATGCCTAATAATAATATAATTATAATAACTAATATTAATATAATCTGTAAAATATTAATTTATATTAATTTATATTTATATGTTTATATATATATTTACATTTACATTCCATTTAGTCATATATATATATAAAACAAATAAAATGCATGCATATACATTTCATATTACTGAATTATTAATAAATGAATATATCATAAACATAATGAATTAATTATATATCATTCTAATTATACTGGATTAATTAAATAAATAATAACCACTCTAATATAGTACATTTGTTTGTTCATAAGAAATATTAACAGCTACTGATCTGATAGTATAATAGAGTATATAAAGTATTAGCAGAATATTATAGTTTTACTAGTATGTTTCTGCTGCTCTCGTCTGAATGGATCAGACGGAAAGAGATCTGCATGTTCGGTCTCGTTTGCAATCATTTGCCAAACAAATCAGCTTTTCTTCGAGAGAAACCTGACCGCAGACTCACACACAAAAACAGTCGGTATAATTCATTATTAGTCTTTAATCTGCGGGTCGGTCCTGAGCACAAATAAACCCTTAATGTCTGGTTTCACGTTTCTGACGGTATTATGGCTTTAGAGAAGAAATGCGGTGTTGAGAAGTGTTTAATGTGGTTTATAGCCGTAACCTCAGGTCTGAGTCTGAAGGTTAGAGAGTGTGCAGTAGGTTAGAGTTCAGTATTTGCCTCGTCACTGTGGCTCAGTGATCTCAGAAGATGATGACAGAGGAGCACTGGGAGAAACTGATAATAAAACACACTCGCACTGAATGAATGAGACAAACACCAGACATGAGGGCCAGAAAGAAAGGTTCGTGTTATTCCTCTGTTATTCATTACTATTCACAATTATTGAGCATGTTTGCTTAAAGGTGAAGAACCTACTCAATGTATGTTTTGCAAGGTTCCCCTTTCTGTTAAACATATTTTATTGAACACAACTTTTATGAACTCACTTAAAGAGTTTAGTAAAATTCTGCCAGGAAATGTTTTAGAATTTTTAATCACATGCTAATGTAAGTAAAAAAATCTTGTGTGATATAACTTGTTTGTTGGTTTTTATTGCATTTGTTATATTTCTTTTATTGTTTTTGCCATGAAAATAGCCTTTGATGCTGACATGGGATTAAATAAATATATACATACTATATTGAGAAGGACGAGTTTAGTTGAGCTTTGGTTGAATGTCTGTTTTAAAACTGATCTAAGCTTCTAATGCGAGTTTATTCTTATTTTGTAGGAAGCTAAATTATGTAGTGAAATAATTTAGTATTTTTTTATTTTATTTTAATGTGGTCCAAAAGTTTGACTCTAGTAGTATAAAAACTGTTCTGTGTGTTTGCAATTTAATTGCTTTTTGTTGTTATTGTTTTTAGAGAGAAACATTTGGCTAAAAACTGAGTATGAATTGTATCTGTTTTGCTTTTAAATGTTTATTTTATTAATTGTTTTGTTAATTTTATGAACTACAAATGATTTTTGACTTATATTTAGCGTATGTTTGTGCTGGGCTGAACTTGATGAACAATGTTAATTGTTAATGTATAATTGCTTATTTTGTTGGACTGGTTAGTTCACAGGTAATCTCTCACCTTTCACAGGTAAAGTCATGGTTGCCGTGTCAACAATTACAAGTGTGCTGTGTGCTGTGATTGTTTGAAGCTTCATGTGTGTCTTGTGACCTTCAGATGATTAAAAATGATCCAAGATTCTAATTTGATTAATTGTCATTTTGTAGGAAACTAGATTGTTTGATGAATTAATGGATTGAGTAATTTTTTTATTTTTTTATTTTTTATTTTATCGTAGTCCAAATGTTTGACACTAGCAGTGAAAATACTTTGCTTTTGAATGTTTTTTATTTATTTTACCAATTGTGATTGGCATATCCATTTAATATGCATTTTTATAAATTTTGTGTTTATATGTACTATTTTAAAAGCTTATTTTATGAAGATTTTGGCTCATATATTAATGTGTTTCTAGTGTCTTCCAGACGTGTTTCTATGTTAAGAATGATCCAGTGTTTTCTCCACATTTTTTTATTAAATCATGAGAGAGAGAAAATATAATTTTACTTGTATGTAATTGTATTTCTTTAATTTTTAACATTTTAATATTACATAGAGGCTATGTATAATATTAAGATAGTAATAGATATATAATAAATTACTAAAGTAACAGTATTCGTATCTGATCTGGTATAATATAATGTAGAAAGTATTACTATGTCTTACTAAAGGGTTTCTATGTTAAGGATGACAAAACTTCTAATGTAAATTAATTCAATTTTTTTTAGGACACTCAGTTATTTAATGAATACTGAGTATTTTACATACAATGTGGTCCAAAAGATCTGACACTGCTAGTGAAAATTGTTTGTTGTATTCCTCATTTTTAAGTCGCTTTGAGTAAATGTTAAAGGTCAGCTGTGTGTTTTATGAGGGTTTGCGTAATTAGGAGCCACAGTGGCGTGTAATTTCTTAATGAAGCGTGTAGTAATGACTCAGGCAGGTTCATAAACCTGAACTCTCTCGGGATGGGATGTTTGCTGTTGTTTCAGCATCTGTTGTTTCATTTTGTGCACGTCTGGGGAGATGCTGAATGCTTTGCTGCATGCGGAAAAATGCAAAAAGGTTTGGTTGTGCACCTGATTTTCATTATTTCATGGATGTGCATGCATTGTTTGGAATGCATTGAGTCAATAGTTTGCTGATGTGTTTTGTGTTAGTTCAGACCAATATAAACTCAGCATGTGAATGCAGAAGTCAGTGTTTGATAGGCGACTGTTATTAAATTAAATTAAATTTATGCATTTAGCAGACACTTTTATCCAAAGCAACTTACAGTGCATTCAGGCTATACATTTTTTATCAGTATGTGTGTTCCCTAGGAATTGAACCCACGACCTTTGCGCTGCTAATGCAATGCTCTACCACTGAGCCACAGGAACATTAGGTTATGTGTGTTTAAGGCAAGAAGCTGTTAGTAGGGTAAAGCACCATACTTCCACAGTTGGTTAATCACAGTAAGGTAAAAATGTAACACTCTACAATAATAACAGTGCATGAATAATCATCTACTAATATGTAAATTATATATATTTTTAATATCCGCTAATGCATATTAGTGCATGATTATTCATGTACTGTTATTGTAGAGTGTTACCAGTAAAATGGTATCACCATCCTGACCGAGTTGATTAATTAGAGTACATTAACGCAATTGTTTTGTATTACAAGTTTTCAGAAATGTTATGTTTAAATATGCACTAATTTTCATTCATTTCCAGAACATATATCTGAAGATTGTATAAAGCCAGATTCAAAATTCATGTTTGACTTTGTTGACATATTAGACTTAAAGGTTTTTACTGAGGGGATTTTGGATTTATCTTTTTATCACTGCATAAATCAGAAAACACTGCCAACAGATAGGAAAAAAATTAATTTTCGCCATGTTTTTAAGAATAAAAGGTTGTATAAATCAGTGTGAGTGAAATATGAACAAACCCCACAGTAAAAACCTTTAGAATATAGAGAGGAATAAAACTGTAAGTTTTGATGAATGTAAGTGCTGCTGATGTGCAGAAACAAACTGATTTTGAGAAAATGACTAAAGAAATGTACTATAATTCGTATCTAAGGCAAAAACATTGTTTTTTTTTCTTGCACAGTTTTAAGTCAGTTTTAAGATTTTGTTCTACTTTGCTCTCATAACATGTCTACTTTGAGACTAGTGGAAAGAAAACATCTAAAATACACATTTAAGTGTTTATTTTATTGCACTTTTTCTATTTGCGTCTGTAGATTTCAATTCCAATACATATCTTTAAAGAGTTTTTCCTCCACTTCAGCAGCACTTACATACACCAAACTTTACAGTTTTATTCCTCTCTATATTCTGAAGGTTTTTACTGTGGGGTTTGTTCATATTTCACTCACACTGATTTATACAGCATTTTTATTTCTAAAATCATGGTGAAATTGTTTTTTCTGTCTGTTGACAATATTTTCTTATTTATTGAGTGATATTTTGCTTACACATGTTAATGGAAAAAAAACATCCAAAATACAATTTTAAGTGTTATTTTATTACACTTTATCTATTAACATCTGTAAATTTAAATGACAATTAATTTCTTTAAAGTCGTTTTATTAAAATTAGTTTGTTTCTCCAATTCAGCAGCACTCACATACACCAAACTTTATAGTTTTATTCCTCTCTATATTCTGAAGGTTTTTACTTAGGGGTTTGTTCATATATCACTCACACTGATTTATACAAACTTTTATTCCTAAAAACATGGCGAAAATTTATTAGTTTTCTGTCTGTTGACAGTATTTTATGATTTTTGGTGTGTAAAAACCTTTGACTCTCAACAAAGTCAAACAAAAATTTTAAACCTGGCTTCATCCAATGTTCCCATTTATTTTCTGGGAATGTATGCAAATTAAAACATAACATTTCAGAAAACATGTAATACCAAATAATTGTCTTAATGTACTTATTCACCCGTGGTGTCTTGCTTTAAATCTGCACCTGCATTTGCACTTATATCCCACTCTCCAACAGATGTTTTATTCACTTGTATTCATTCATCATCTTCTTGATTCTTCTCTTTTCCATGTCAACAGAGAGCCGTGACCCGATGCGGGTTCCCGTTCATGGTGTCTCCATGTTCTCCATCACCAGCTCCATCTCTGACCCACGTTTCCGCTTCCGATGGCGAGCCATCACGGTGGCAACCCTCCTGGCTTTGGCCGTCTTCGTGTACCTGCACCAAACGTCATCAAGCTCCACTGACATCAAAGTTAGCGGTCAGCGTTCATGGCGATCCAGCCGAGACGTGTCAGGCGCAGAGGTAAACAGTAACAAAGTACATTTACTTGAGTATAGCACTTAAAACCTGGAAAAGTCAGATTTTCATGATACTTTTAATAGAAGTTAATTGATAAAGAAAATCTATTTATGATATTATTTTTGACAGCATCCTCATTTTACAGCATTTTTACACAAGTGCCTAAAACTTTTAACAGTACTGTAGCTTTGCAAGAGGTTTCTTGAAGCATCTCGGAGACACAGTTCTTCTGGATTGAGTCTGTCTCAGTTTGTTCTGTTTCTTCATGTCACTCCAGACAGACTGATGATGATCAGATCACATCTCTGTCTGTGTGCAGCACTAACATCTCACTGCATTATTACAATTAATGGCCAAATGAATGTTTGGAAATGTAAACTGATATTTCCTACTGACACACTACAGCAAAAGATAGAAATAACTGACTTAAAACCGTTTCTTAGCTGCTGAAAATACTAGTGTTCTAATCATTTTGGCCACCGCTGTACTTCTGTACTTTTACTTAAGTAAAAATCAGTCTTTACAACTTTCACTTGTAATGGAGTAATACACTATATTGCCAAAAGTATTGGCACCCCCTTCTAATGAGCAGGTTTGACTACTTTAGAAATTTCCATGAGTACAAATCTTAATGTTTAAGCATATAATGATATTCTAGGGAATTGTGTGCTTGTAATTTTATAGCAACAGTTTGGACAAGACCCTTTTCTATTCTAACAATGCCTCTGTGTATAAGGCAAGGTTCAAAAATAAATGATTGATTGAGTCAGTGTGGAAGAGCTTGACTGGTCTGCTGTGACTTTAAATGCAGACCTTGAGCCAAAAACTCTTCACCAAAAGGTAAAGTTTTTATCTTTTTGAATACATTTTAGTCTTGTCTTATTTCGTCAACGAAATTGTATGTTGATATAGTCTTAGTTATCGTTTATTGACCTTATTGTCGTCTAGTCTTCGTCTCGTCTTGGTCTTGGGAAAAAAGCTTGTCAACGAACATTTTTCGTCATAGTCTTCGTTAACGAAATTAACACTAGGTAAAAGACTGTAAAAATGCTACAGTAAAAACCTGTTAAATGGTTAACAGTAAATTCCTTGAGCCAAAAACTCTTCACCAAAAGGTAAAGTTTTTATCTTTTTGAATACATTTTAGTCTTGTCTTATTTCGTCAACGAAATTGTATGTTGATATAGTCTTAGTTATCGTTTATTGACCTTATTGTGGTCTAGTCTTCGTCTCGTCTTAGTCTTGGGAAAAAAGCTTGTCAACGAACATTTTTCGTCATAGTCTTCGTTAACGAAATTAACACTAGGTAAAAGACTGTAAAAATGCTACAGTAAAAACCTGTTAAATGGTTAACAGTAAATTCCCCTACTATATTCGGTGAAATATATACCGTTTTTGGAAGTAAAAAAGACAAGATAATTTACAGTGAATAACCGTAAATTGACATTCCCAGAAATCCTTGCATTACATTTCAAATTTGATGTTGAAATAACTATATTTCTTATTAGTTTTGTATATTAGGGTTGTATGTTACACCTAATTTTGTGAAATTAATGTTTATTGCATTATTTCAGTTTCATGTGTGTTACCGTGATGGTGTTTAGTGTTTGTGTGAATGACACTGTGTGCATCTTCTATATATGTTATTATCTAAAAGCTGCTTGTGATGGGCTTTGGTTCATCATGTGACTTTCTCATCACCTCCTGCATTTGGTGGTTATCAGTGTATTACAAATGTACAAAACAGATTTCAGTACTTCAGTAGGTTGGTATATTAACATTATATCAGTTAATGAAATTACGGTAATTAACTGTAAATTTGTAAACACTTAAAATCTAAAATGTTGCTACCGTATTTGTTACAGTAAAATTCTGGCAACCACAGCTGCCGTTTTTTTACCGTAAACATTTTTTTCTACCTTTTTACAGTGTAGAATATCATTATATGCTTAAACATTAAGATTTGTACTCATGGAAATTGCTAAAGCAGTCAAACCTGTTCATAAGAAGGAGGGGTGCCAATACTTATAATATAGTGTATTTGACCAGCAGTATCTGTAGTTTCACTCAGTAATGGAATTGTGTACTTTATCCACCTCTAGTCAGGCGTGATGGCCGCGGCTGAATCGGTGGACTCGCTTTATAATGACACGTACCCGCTCAGTCCCCCGGAACACACGGCCAGCGGGATCCGTTACCGGATCGGAGTCATAGCGGACCTGGACACGAACTCACGCAGCCAGAAGGACAACACGTGGTTCAGCTTCCTGAAACGAGGCCACCTGCTGGTGTCCGACAGCGGGGACAGCGTGTCTGTGGAGTGGGATCCGGAGACGGTGGTTCTGGAGAGTCATCTGTCGGAGAAGGGCCGCGGCATGGAGCTGTCCGAGCTGGTGGCATTTAACGGGCACCTGTACAGTGTGGATGACCGTACGGGCGTGGTGTACCGGATAGAGGGCAACAGAGCTGTGCCCTGGGTCATCCTGCCGGATGGAGACGGCAGCGTGTCTAAAGGTAAATACGGCTTGTGTGTTTCGTTTCTTAAAGGGGGCATCAGAAGCCCCTTTTCCACAAGTTGATATGATTCTTTAGGGTCTTAATGAAAAGTCTATAACATACTTTGGTTAAAATTTCTCAATGGTAGTGTAAAAAACACCCTTTTTACCCTGTCAAAAACAGCTTTATTCCCCTAAACGGGGATTATGCAAATGTGTTAGTATACCGGTAACAGGCAAAAGATTCGAAAATATGACGACTCGTTAAGGCGATTCAGAATCGACTCTCTCTTTTGAGAGACAATATCTTTGTTTATCATGCACTTTTTTTGATTAACAACTTTGCACATTGTTTTCATTTAAGGATAGCTACGTTATAAACTGCAAAAGAGATATTTTTCAAAAACCCATATGACCTGCTCTTTAACGAAAAGTCTATAACATACTTTGGTTAAAATTTCTTAGCCTTAGCTTAGCATTCATCGTGAAACTTGCTAATTAGCACATTTTTAAGAAAGCCAATTTGCAAAGATTCATAAAAAAACCTTACACTCACTTCTTCTGTAGATGAAGCTGGATCACGAATGATTCGCGAGAACATAAACGCATTTATGTAGATCGGGGGCGCATTCCCTTCAGAAACAAACATAATCCACTGCGTCTTCAGCGGCTCAGATGTCGGGAGTAAATGACGACTGCTGTTCATTATTACATCCAACAACAGAACACCTCAATCACTCAGGAGTCATTCTTGTCTACATCTGCTCCGGCGGTGAAACAATGGCGGACTGATGACAGCTCACTCAGGGCGGAGCTAAGGTGGATGCCAGTGTCAATCAACAATCGTGGGAGGGACCTGGGTCTGTGTGACATCACACCACCAAGAATCTGAGAACGGCTTGATATGAGAAAGGGGTTTGGATTTATTGAGATTTTTAAAAAAAGCACTGGGTGGATTTTTATCATTACAGGGTAGCTGTGTACACTAGGGCTGTCAATTGTTTTTTCGAATATTCATCGAATTTAAAATAAGAATCCACATTCGAATGCAACGTTTTTGCATTCGAATGTGGATTCTTATTTTAAGGTGTGCGTCAGGCTGCCTTATCAGTGGAGCACAAGATGCGATGACGATTTAAGTGTCGTTGCATTTTAATGTTTTTCATAGCTTATCCACTGGATGTGGCGCTGCTGCGTTGTTCATTTAAAATATTGCAGAAAAAGAGAACATCAATGCGGAGAAGATGTTGTTTACGTCAAAACCGAAACCAAGCCGTTCACACAGAACGCATATTTATCGCATTTTCTAGAGGGACATCTATCACCGTTGCACTCGCGTCTCGCACAAGAGAGGCTAAGTAAAAAAATATCAAAAATTATATCTGCTATCTGAATAATTTTTGGTTTTGTCTGTACTAATTAATATATTTATAATCATGTATAGTATATAGTATCTTGGTTTTCTCATATACTATCTTATATCTTATAAAAATCATTAGGATATTAAGTAAAGATCATGTTCCATGAAGATATTTAGTAAATCTCCTACCGTAAATATATCAAAACGTAATGTTTGATTAGTAATATGCATTGCTAAGAACTTAATTTGAACAACTTTAAAGATGATTTTCTCAATATTTTGATTTTTTTGCACCCTCAGATTCCAGATTTTCAAGTATTGTCCGATCCTAACAAACCATACATCAATGGAAAGCTATTTATTCAGATTTCAGATGATGCATAAACCTCAATTTAAAAAAACTGACCCTTATGACTGGTTTTGTGCTCCAGGGTCACATATGTTTTCTTTTATATTATGTTGTATACATTATATACTATCTTAAATATGTTGTGTGTGCTTGTCCTCTGTGTCTGTGGTCTGTCTCAGGTTATCTCATCCACGAGTCGGCCGTGTGGAGCGAGCGTCTCCAGCGCTGGTTCTTCCTCCCTCGCCGCGCGAGCTCCGAACGCTATGAGGAGACCGCAGACGAGCGCCGCGGCACAAACCTCATCCTGAGCTGCTCGCTGGACTTCAGTCAGATCTCAGTGTCGCGCGTCGGGCCGCTCAAACCCACGCTCGGCTTCTCCTCCTTCAGATTCATCCCAGACACAGACGACCAGATCGTACTAGCGCTCAAATCGGAGGAGGACGCGGGACAAATCGCTACATACATCACGGCCTTCACGCTGGACGGACGAATCCTGCTGCCTGACACGAAGATCGGAGACGTCAAATATGAAGGACTGGAGTTCATATAGACAGCCTTCAAAACAGCAGAACGGCTGTGCAGGCATCCGTTACACATAATGCAATGAAACGGCAGCCAGTATATTTCAGAGACATGTTAATGTGCTGTATGCAGTAGGGCTGCGACGATAAATGTGAGCCTGGAGCACAAAAGCAGTGTTGAGTCGCTGGGGGATATTTGTAGAAATAGCCAACAATACATTGTATGGGTCACAATTATACATTTCTCTTTTATGCCAAAAATCATTAGGATACTAAGTAAAGATCATGTTCCATGAAGATATTTTGTACATTTCCTACCGTAAATATATCAAAACTTAATTTTTGATTAGTAATATGCAAAAGTTTTGTGCTCCAGGGCCACAAATCAGTGCAGAATCGATTCTGCGCTTAGATTTTAACAGCAGATGGTGCTCTACTCTAGTTTTTATCCGCACACTCAAATGCTCATGTAATTTCACCTCGGCTCAGAATGCTTTTATGACTGTGAACACCCTTGTAACTCGCTTCAACCTTTTCGAATTTTATGAATGATTATTTTAGGTTCAAGTGCGTGTAAGGAACTGGAAACAAGCAGAGTACGGCTGTTTCTGAAGCATGCTGCTGTTCAAAACTAAGCTCAGAATCGACTCGAGAAAGAACGCATTCGGGAAATCTCAGAATCGATGCCGAATCATTTCTCGATTCGTGATGCTTCGATTTATTTTCTCAGCCCTAGTATGCAGACGAACGTCCTCAATGTGGGACGAGACACAGAAACGCTCAGGGGACTGAAGCAACGGGAAACAGATGCAATAATAGAGGAAACCTCTAACTGAACATGACGGGGTTTCTGGAGGTTTAAAACATCCTGATTCACCTTTTCACAAACTAAGGCCTTAAAATGTCTCAAATCAGAGTCTTAAATTCATAAAGTGTGCATGCTCTGCAACCTTTTCCAGTACAAATATCTAAAAGTAATGGCAGTCAGTTGAAAGTTATATTATTATTAGTGCTGACAATCAATTACAAAAAAATAAATCACATTTTTTTCTGTAATTAATCGCCGTTAATCCAACTCAACATTAAAGTTTTTAAATACACTTTTATATTGCAATAATTAGACATTGAACCTTCAAATTAATGCAGAAACAACAAAGACAGTATATTTTTAATATTTGTATAATGGCATCTTTTTTTTATGACTGAAGGCTAGTATCACTGATACCAATACTACTGATGTCTATAGCTAATTATTTTTTCCTAATATTTAACCATTGACTAGCCATTCAACATTACAAGAGCTATTAATTTTAACATTTATTAGACTACTTAAAATAACTTCTAGTTTAAGTGAACTTAAAACTATCTTCACGTAAACCCATTATAATAAAAGTCATATTTACCTGTGCCCATCAACAAGAAGGAAATATGCAGAAACTGAATGAAGTTATCAAACACTAAATTAAATATAGATTAATATTTAAAGCTACTTCAAGCAGTTGTGTGTGGGGTGGACAACCCAAGCTCCGCCCCTACGATAAATATTTTTAATGGCGTTAAACTGGACAAATTTATGACATGCGTTATCACGCTAATTTTGACAGGACTAATTATTAAACTTTCATTTATATCACGAGAACATATTGTGTTGCTTAAATGTTATGTTTGTTCTTAAAAAGTCTTACATTTGCCTTCATCAAACCTGCAGAAACCCTGCATAATAAATAAATGTGTGCATTGAGAAATGCACTGAGAATAATTCCAGTAATTGTTTAAAAAAAATTGCCTTTATTAAAAACTACAACACCTCAATGTACTTTATTTATTTTATTTGTGCTTATTTTAGTGTATAAACTACACTAGATATGTTTAATTAATATTCCTTTGATTTATGGGATTAATTAAAAGACATTTAAAATGAAATGTATTATTAATTTCAGAAATTTTGATTTTATTTTTTTAGGTGTGCCTTCTTGCAGAGTTAATTTATGTTAGGGGTTTTACACAGATTTAGCAAAAAAAGTAAGAACTAAATCATGGATTTAATCACAGAACGAATTATAAAACATAAATTAGCAGTCAGATTATTGTGTCAGAGTTTAGTTCCCATGATGACCAGGTTGGTCGGAAGCCCGTCGACGTTCAGCACCTGAAACACATCCAGCGTCTTTAGGAAGTCGAACATTCGTCTGTCGTTGGATCTGAACTCGCTGAAAACTCCTTTAGACCCTGTAAACCAAAAATAAATAAAGTGAGAATCACGTTTTTTTTGTCACAAATGGAGATCACTAAACTAAACAAAATAATGTGAGACAAAAATATGAATTGCTGCAGTCTATTTAAAAGTGTATTTGAATAAATGATTAAACATTTGAATATATAACCTATTTTTAATATTTAATACACCAATTTTGATGAGTGAATGATTCAATGACTCACTCATAAAGACTTCACTTGTTTCATTACTGGACGAATCAGCGTTTTTGAACGAATCTCTTGAATGAATGAGTCAATGACAAATACATTTTTAAACAGTCACTTGTCGCCACCTAGTGGTGAAGCAATGCAATCCACACAAACGTTATTTAAAGCGCCAATTGCTTTAAAAAGATGATTTGCTCAATTTTGATCACTACCATAGACATCAGTGTTTATATCCAAACTATAATCTTTCATCCCAGTATTTCTGTGATAACATGAATGACAATAAGACTGTTTGTGAAGGTATTTCTTACCTGAACACGGTAAATGCTCGCTCTCTCTGTTTTTCCAAAGGTTTTATAGACACGGGCGACTCGTTGTCATTTAGAAATTAGATTGCGTGTGTGTTGTTTTGCGTGGGTTTTAACGATTAATCGTGCAGCTCTACGATCAACTGCTGAGCGTGCGGTGAGACTGGTGACTAATGTAACGCTGCTGATGTCAGCGCAGCGCTCTGATTGGTGGAGAGTGTTGTTAAACTCATGTTTAATCATGTGACTGAAGACTGGAATACAGCTCTGATCACAGAAATACATTTACAGTTTAACAGCTATTCACATAGAAAACAGATATTTTAAATCGCAATATTCCACAATTTTTACAGTATTTTTGATCAAATTAATGCAGCCTTGGTGAGCAGAAGAGACTTCTTTTGAAAACAAATCTTATTAACTCCAAACTTTTGACCAAGTCAATGGAAACCAAAACTGTCTTCAAAATATATTAAACAGAAGAAAGACATGCAGGTGAGTAAATGATGATGTTTGTGTGGACTGTCTCTTTAAGAGCGTGTCACCTGGTCTTTAGGAGTGCAGGGTCATATGGTGAACACGCGTGTGGGCTGCGGAACAGGTCACGGATCCCGTGAGAGGGCAGCATCCGCTAAACATCAGCACAAACACGTCAGGAGCAGAAGAATCGTGCTAATATCATACGGCAAAAAAAACTTATATATATACATACATACAGTATCTCACAGAAGTGAGTACACATTTTTGTAAATATTTTATATCTTTTCATGTGACAACAAATGACAAGAAATGACACTTTGCTACAATGTAAAGTAGTGAGTGTACAGCTGCAAAATAAAAATTTTACTATTGTAAAAATTTTTACTTCAAAATAAAACAAAACCGAGTATCACATTATAAACGCATTAACCTTAACATGAACAATTTATTTAATCGTTATATTTGACGTGTGTTCATATTATATTACATTATTATATGTGTTTTTGGCGACTCGCCCTCGACTTCTCGGAACATCTTGGATTTCTTGGACACGATTCCTAGTTTTGCAGCAGATCGCTCTCTGCGCTCTTGAATGAGTTCTGTGCATCTGCTGACACTGAATCAGATGTTTAGATTAATGTTTATGTTTATAATCTCACTACTTCCTTATTGAACTCGTGGTCACCCCATTGCGCATGCGCGCTTCTGCAGCTGTCAAATAAGCCCCGCCCATCTGTGTGTAGCTCCAGAATGTTCCTTTAAACCAGTGTGAACCAGCTTAAACTGTATATGGCCAATGTCGACAGCTGAGTTGGTCATTTAAGCTGGTCACCGCTGAAATGGGTTTCTGGTTATCGGTGCTCTGAGGTAATGTTGATTCTCTGATCTTCTGTGCTGCTAACTCTTCAGTCCTCTCTGAGCCTGTTTCAGTAGCGTGTCGAAGTCGAACGACTCGCATCGGCTCCTGGATGTTGGGTCGACATCGCGGCTGGAATCTAGATGACAGAACAACAAATAAGGCCAAACCAAAACATCCCGAGTTTTATAATGTATTACACTGTGAAAGAACCAGTTCTGCTTATGGCTGCATGATTTGGGGGGAAAAAGGAAATTTGTGATTATATATCCAAAAACTTTATTATATATATCAATATAGCTATAAGTATAGTATATATTTATTTAATGCCATGTCAGCATCAAAGGCTATTTTCATGGCAAAAACAATTAAAAAAATACAATTATAACAAATACAATAAAAACCAGCAAACAAACAAACACAAGTTATATCACACAAGATATTTTTACATTACCTTGTGATTAAAAATTCTAAAGCTTTTCCCGACAAAATGTTTACTAAATAACTCTGAGTTCAATACAGCTATATAAATTTATTATTATTATTATTACTACTACTAGTAAATAAAAACAAATGACTAAATAGATAATATTAATATTGTAATATTTCACAATAAAATAAAATGAGTACTTAAGAAAAATAATCTCATTTTATTTTAAAGTACTTACTATACAGTAGTAACTGTATACAAGTATAATATTGCTATTAATGTCTTAATTTTCAAATGTTAAACTCGGTTGTAATAATTATTATTAAATAAAAACAAAAATTACAAAAAAAAAACTAAATAATATTACTATTAATATTTCACTGCATAATAAAAATGGAGTATTTAGGAAAAATACAATAATAATGATAAACTTAATTTTACATTACAACTGTAAAATTATTATTACTATTAATATTTATGGCTGTCTTAATTTCTTCATTTTCAAACATTAAACCATTGATTATTATTATTACTACAAAAAACAAAAAAAAAAACAAAAAAAAAAATTATTTTTATATAGTAATTGTAATATTTCACAATAAAATAAAATGAGTACTTAAGAAAAATAATCTCATTTTATTTTAAAGTACTTACTATACAGTAGTAACTGTATACAAGTACAATATTGCTATTAATGTCTTAATTTTTTAATTTTCAAATGTTAAACTCGGTTGTAATAATTATTATTAAATAAAAACAAAAATTACAAAAAAAAACTAAATAATATTACTATTAATATTTCACTGCATAATAAAAATGGAGTATTTAGGAAAAATACAATAATAATGATAAACTTAATTTTACATTACAACTGTAAAATTATTATTACTATTAATATTTCACTGCATAATAAAAATGGAGTATTTAGGAAAAATACAATAATAATGATAAACTTAATTTTACATTACAACTGTAAAATTATTATTACTATTAATATTTCACTGCATAATAAAAATGGAGTATTTAGGAAAAATACAATAATAATGATAAACTTAATTTTACATTACAACTGTAAAATTATTATTACTATTAATATTTATGGCTGTCTTAATTTCTTCATTTTCAAACATTAAACCATTGATTATTATTATTACTACAAAAAACAAAAAAAAAAACAAAAAAAAAAATTATTTTTATATAGTAATCCTATAAAATAACAAAATACAATAATAAAAAAAAGCCATATTGGGGTTTTATTTAAATGAATCATTTCACCTTTCACTCTGTTATGCTTAATAGACAATGCAGAAATATATTTCTCTTCATATCAGCTAAAGAGACCAGCAGCACAGAATAAGTAAAGTAATATGAAATGAGAAATCGTTCAGGAGACCGACCTAAATCTGCATAGTTGGATTTACAAAACTGTCGTCTGCCGCCAAAGCAGATGTCGAAGGGAAGCTCGTCTGGGCGCCTCAGTTTACCGCCGCTCTCAATAGCAGCGTAAGCGTCGTCTGTGCTGTGATACGTGACGAAGCCGTAGTTGTCTCTACAAGAAGAGAACAGAAAGACAGAAACACGCTGAGAAAACATATCAGCTCAGAAGAACAGAAGCCGAAGCTGAGGCTCAAAAACGTGTTTTCTGATAGCGATGCACCAAATAACGGATGTAACGATTACCGGTTTGACGATAAATCATGATGAAATTCCCCACGGTTAGTATCACCGTTTCATATTTTAATTATCATTATAACCGTATTCGATTACGGTCCAGCATAAAGCACAGTTTTAAGTAACAGTCTCTGGTGCACACAGCACGCCAGTGTTAATTTTGACAGCAAATTTTGATTTAGTTTTAGTTTTAGTCATAGTCTTTTGACTAAAATGCCATTTAGTTTTAGTCATATTTTAGTCATCTGAATTGTTTTTAGTTTTAGTCGACTAAAATCTAATGGGTTTAGTTACAGTGCATTTATTAATCATTTCTCTCAAATGTCCAAACCCATTATATAGGTGTGATATTAAGGTTTTATCATGACAGACACTGATTTAACTGCGTTGACACACGACGTGCCTTTATGTCAAAGAACAACATGGTCTTCTTTTCAATGAAATACCAATGTTTATATCGGCTAATTATGCATTCTTTATAGCAACTTGTTTACCATATTCTTCATTCTTTCAAGCAGACATATTTATTTCTATAAATACATTTAGATTAATCTTTAAGGCAACTAAAGATTTTCAGTCAAGAGCAGTTCGTGATTTTCTGTCTTTCTGTTGTTGCTTGATTAATATCAATGACTCAATAGCAACTAAATTAGGCTGCTGTCCCTTTAAATCCGAATGCACAGCTGCAGTGGATGCAATGTACTGATACACGTTCTCCCTACTGTTTACCTTCACTTAAGACGTAATCAACTGTGTTTACGTGAATACTCGTCGAAACTGACAATTCGACATCATTTTGTGTGTAATTCTCCATTCATGCGATGCTAAAGAGTACTCGCGCGCTGTGAGAGGCGCTTTCTGTGTGTGTAACGTTATGCTTCAGTGTCTGCGCTCAGAAAACCGGACTGAATTGAGTTCTCTTGCATCGTCAGATTTATCCATATGTCTGCTATTCGCTTACTCCCAGATATTCAAATTTTTTAACGTTTTATGAGACGCGCAGCAAGTGTATGCAAGCTTTTGTCCCGCCTGTTTATATGTACGCATCTAACCTCTTCTGAATGAATCTCTTCCCAAATCGTCCCTCCCTAACATTTTCGTCTCGTTTTTATTCGTTGACGAAAATGTCAATAAATATTCGGCATAGTTTTTGTCATTCAAAAAGAGATTTAGTTCGTTGTCGTCGGTGAAAAAAATTAACACTGCAGCACGCGGAATAGTTTCGCTATGTGTGAAAACACAGAGGAAATTTTGATGGTTTGGTGGTGTTGGAGTTCTTCACGTTCTTCCGGGTTTGAAGGGTGATGAACTCCAAAAGATGTTATTCTGGCTCGGTAGTGGTCGGGAGAGTTTTCTCCCAGATGAAGGTGAAGAAGAGCTAAGACAGACATCAGCGGAGATCGTTGGTGAATGTAAAGACAAGGCCGAAGCCTGGTGCAGACTTAAGGGTTGCAGAAGCGTTCTAGCTCACATCCTCATCTTCTCAGAATCTAACAGAACCGCCGACTGAAGGCGGGTCGCTGATGTGTTTGCCTTTATCTTCTATCGAGGTCACACCTCTGGGGGATCAACGAGCCAATGCTGTCTTGAACTTTTGGAGGGAAAGTTTACGACTTTTTGTCTCCAAGCATGGTATTTTGCATATGTAATTCGATTTGTAGATTTTATTTGACTATTTGATTTTTAAAAATCCTCGACTAGGGGGGAAGTCGTGGTCTGATGGTTAGCGAGTCGGACTCGTAACCCAAAGATTGCAGGTTCGAGTCTCGTACCGGCAGGGATTGTAGGTGGTGGGAGTGAATGTACAGCCTTCAATACCACGACTGAGTTGCCCTTGAGCAAGGCACCGAACCCCCAACTGCTCCGGGTGTGTGTTCACGGTGTGTGTGTGTTCACTGCTGTGTGTGTGCACTCCATCTCTGCATGTTGTTGTGAGTTTGGGTTTATTATAACATTAATCTGGGAACGCAACATGTGCCATTTCATCAGATTTGTAAGGTAAATCATTTATAAATCTATGCAAACTCGGGAGAATACATCATTATCTCGCGGTTTCAAAATAAAAGCTAAAACCCTCACTCGGAGTTTACACGTTTTGATGTCCACATATTCTTTTAATTACAGAGGCTATAGCATCTCTGTCCTAAAGAAATGGCCAAATATTAAAGATTAAGTGGACATCTGAATGAAATGATGCTTGGTCAATATTAAACAAGGATTAGATCGCACAATAACGTGTCAAAACAATCAGGCTGTTGGCGCCCCCTGCAGGCCTTTGTTGTAATGCGTAATGTACATTAGCTCTATTGTTTATAATGCATTATGTATTTTAACAGTTTTGTTCAATAAAACCATATGATTTCTTGCTTTTGATACTTTATTTGAACTAATTGTTATTGCCTCATTGCTATGTATTTTAAGTCATTTTAAAGGCTATTGTTCACTTACATATTTTTATTACCACAAAAAAAATTATTATAATTATAGGGCGCAATGAAATCAGTTTTATTTCCAAATTCATTTTTTTCCATTTTCATTTTTCTATACTCTGTTTTAATGGTTAAATTAAATTTTATTAATCAAAAAGCCTGTCTAATCGGGTTTGAAGGGTGATGAACTCCAAAAGATGTTATTCTGGCTCGGTAGTGGTCGGGAGAGTTTTCTCCCAGATGAAGGTGAAGAAGAGCTAAGACAGACATCAGCGGAGATCGTTGGTGAATGTAAAGACAAGGCCGAAGCCTGGTGCAGACTTAAGGGTTGCAGAAGCGTTCTAGCTCACATCCTCATCTTCTCAGAATCTAACAGAACCGCCGACTGAAGGCGGGTCGCTGATGTGTTTGCCTTTATCTTCTATCGAGGTCACACCTCTGGGGGATCAACGAGCCAATGCTGTCTTGAACTTTTGGAGGGAAAGTTTACGACTTTTTGTCTCCAAGCATGGTATTTTGCATATGTAATTCGATTTGTAGATTTTATTTGACTATTTGATTTTTAAAAATCCTCGACTAGGGGGGAAGTCGTGGTCTGATGGTTAGCGAGTCGGACTCGTAACCCAAAGATTGCAGGTTCGAGTCTCGTACCGGCAGGGATTGTAGGTGGTGGGAGTGAATGTACAGCCTTCAATACCACGACTGAGTTGCCCTTGAGCAAGGCACCGAACCCCCAACTGCTCCGGGTGTGTGTTCACGGTGTGTGTGTGTTCACTGCTGTGTGTGTGCACTCCATCTCTGCATGTTGTTGTGAGTTTGGGTTTATTATAACATTAATCTGGGAACGCAACATGTGCCATTTCATCAGATTTGTAAGGTAAATCATTTATAAATCTATGCAAACTCGGGAGAATACATCATTATCTCGCGGTTTCAAAATAAAAGCTAAAACCCTCACTCGGAGTTTACACGTTTTGATGTCCACATATTCTTTTAATTACAGAGGCTATAGCATCTCTGTCCTAAAGAAATGGCCAAATATTAAAGATTAAGTGGACATCTGAATGAAATGATGCTTGGTCAATATTAAACAAGGATTAGATCGCACAATAACGTGTCAAAACAATCAGGCTGTTGGCGCCCCCTGCAGGCCTTTGTTGTAATGCGTAATGTACATTAGCTCTATTGTTTATAATGCATTATGTATTTTAACAGTTTTGTTCAATAAAACCATATGATTTCTTGCTTTTGATACTTTATTTGAACTAATTGTTATTGCCTCATTGCTATGTATTTTAAGTCATTTTAAAGGCTATTGTTCACTTACATATTTTTATTACCACAAAAAAAATTATTATAATTATAGGGCGCAATGAAATCAGTTTTATTTCCAAATTCATTTTTTTCCATTTTCATTTTTCTATAATCCTTTTTAATGGTTAAATAAAATTTTATTAATCAAAAAGCCTGTCTAATCAATTGAGTTTTACAGTTTTATCTTTACCACAATTCTGTTTTCCATTATTTTCATTTTAATGGATCCATTAAACTTTAATAATCAAAAGCATCTCCAATTAATTGATTTTATAAAAAAAAAATATATATATATTTTTTTTTTTTCAGAAATACTGCACATTCACATTTTTCTCCTAAATAAATTCTGGTAAATAACATTTCTGGTAAATACTCCTTTGAAAAGTGTTTTTGATTATAATTTTATTATTAGTAGACTAGAACACGTGGATATGCTTGCTTTTTGCACTTTACTTTTTTACTTTTGGATTTCCTTTGTGTGGCAGGAGGGGCGGGGTTCAGCGAGGCCTGCATCGGGAGAGAGAGGCAGGAGACGAGCGGTGCGTAAGTGGGTCAAGTGCAAACGATAAACACCTGTGTCTTGTTTCAGTAATTGGTGTGGAGAGACCGGATAAAAGAGGCCACCTGGAACAGGATGGGAAGAGACAGTCTGGGTACGCGAGCGACCCGGGAAGACGGGTGTAGATACACGGAAGCCAGTTGCATTCTGTTTGTTATGAGTTATTGACTGTGAATCTTACCGCGCTGAGTGAGCGCCGTGGTGTGTACAGTGCGGGAAGGAATTTAAATAAAGCTCGCGTCCCAGCAAGCCGACCCTGTCTTCTTCCTTCTACCCTCTTGAACATTTGTTACACTTTGGTTTAATGAAATATAGTTTAATAAAATATTCTTAAATAAAATTGTTGATTTTTTTGTGTGGGAAATTAATCGTTTAGATTAATCGATAGATTATAAAAATAGTCGTTAGTGGCAGCCCTAGTGTTGATGCAAAAACTAGTAAAGATTCTTAGAACATTAACATAAAAATTACTCAAAACTACTACTAAATTAATAAATAAAATAAGAAATATTAATATTCTGATATTTCACTGTAAAATTAAAAAAATTGAGTATTTAAGAAAAAAAAAATATTATAACACTATTGATTTGCTTTGTTGGTTTGTCTGTGTAAATCTCACCCGTGACTCCTGAGATGGACCGCGCAATCCTCCACCTTCCCGAACAGCGAGAATCGATCTTTGAGATCCGACGGTGACATGCTTCCACGGATTCCTCCCACATACACCACCCTCCGCTCCTCCTGAGGATCAAACCCATCATCAGACACAAACACACACACACACGGTGCAATATAACGCTTGTCCACCTACGATGGCTTTCTGCTGTTCACGAGCCTCTTCGTGTCGGCGGTTTAGCTCCTTCTGTCTGCGTCTGAGAATAACGACCGATTTAGACTCACAATCAACACCAGAAGAATCGCACTGCTGCGTTCACACTGACCTCGTCCATCTCCAGTCCGGCTCAGGCGAGCGCGAACCCGAACGAGAGCGACGCAACGATCTGGAGCAGCGGCGTCCACGCTTGCGAGGAGGAGAACGAGAAGGCGACCGAGAACTGGAGCGTGAGGAGGAACTGCTTCCAGAATGCCTGGACCTGCACCTAGGGCTGGACAATAATTCAATATCAATATGTATTTCAGTGATATGATTTTTAAACACATTTCCGATATACATTCCCAGTGTTTCCCATACATTGATTTATTTGTGGCGTTTGACTTCGTTGAATAAATATGAGCACTGCACGTTTCAAAATCAAAATGCGGTGGTGTTTTATATGAACGTATCTCTGAAGGGAACCGACTGTCTTCAGAAAAGTCATTTTCATTTGATCTGATAAAGTATCGTTCAAGAGCGGAGCTGCTTTGATTACAGCCGTTACCGGGGAAACCAATGTTTCTGCTGCTCTAAAAGCGCCTCCTGCTGGCAGACAATCAGTTTGCATTTTCAATAATAAGCCCGTCTCCAGCAACATGTTTTTGTTGTTGCTCAATTTATTCATAAATTTTTTTCTGCAGCTTACTTTTCATACTCTTTATCCTGGCTAAAGCACATTTGTTTCAATCTATAAGAATAACCAGCCTACACTACTTTTTTTTATTTTTTTTTAAGAATTCTCTTCTGCTCACCGAGCCTGCATTTATTTGATCCAAAGTACAGCAAAAAATTTAAAATATTATTAAAATTTAAAATAGCTGTATTCTTTGTGAATATGTGTTAAACTGTAATGTATTTCTGTGATGCGCAGCTGTATTTTCAGCATCATTACTCCAGTCTTCATTGTCACATGATCTTCAGAAATCAGTATAATATGCTGATTTGCAGATTATCAATATTTAAAACAGTTATACTTTGATGAATAGAAAGATCCCAAGATCAGCATTTATCTGAAATAAAAAGCTCTTTTAACATTATACACTATTCCATTCAAATTAATACTTTTATTTAGCAAGGATGCTTTAAATTGATAAAAAATTATAAATGCTGTTCTTCTGAACTTTCTATTCATCAAAGAAACCTGAAAAAAATCTACTCAGCTGTGTTCAGCATTGATAACAATCAGAAATGTTTCTCGAGCAGCAGATCAGCATATTATACTGATTTCTGAAGATCATGTGACACTGAAGACTGGAGGAATGATGCTGAAAATACAGCTGCGCATCACAGAAATACATTACAGTTTAACAGAGATTCACAAATTTAAAATATTATTAAAATTTAAAATAGCTGTATTCTTTGTGAATATGTGTTAAACTGTAATGTATTTCTGTGATGCGCAGCTGTATTTTCAGCATCATTACTCCAGTCTTCATTGTCACATGATCTTCAGAAATCAGTATAATATGCTGATTTGCAGATTATCAATATTTAAAACAGTTATACTTTGATGAATAGAAAGATCCCAAGATCAGCATTTATCTGAAATAAAAAGCTCTTTTAACATTATACACTATTCCATTCAAATTAATACTTTTATTTAGCAAGGATGCTTTAAATTGATAAAAAATTATAAATGCTGTTCTTCTGAACTTTCTATTCATCAAAGAAACCTGAAAAAATTATACTCAGCGGTTTTCAACATAATAGTAATAAATGTTTCTTGAGCAGCAGAATATTAGAATGATTTCTGAAGGATCATGTAACTGGAGTAATGACGCTAAAAATATAGCTTTGAAATCACAGAAATAAATTACAGTTTAACATATATTCACATAGAAAACTGTTATTTTAAATAATAAAAATATTTCACAATATTACTGTTTTTGCTGTATTTCTGATCAAATAAATGCAGGCTCGGTGAGCAGAAGAGACTTCTTTAAAAACATTAAAAATCTTACTGTTCAAAAACGTTTGACTGTGAGTGTATATTAGCCTATAATTTGAAGTTAAAGATATTAATATTAATTAGGTGAGTTTTAGACGATTATTTGACAGTGATTTCACATTATTGTTTGTATGAAGGCTAAATACAAATAAAAGGTCAACATGAGTTTCTCTAAAATATTAGCCTATATGGTTTTATATGAGGTGTTGTAGACTTGGCAAATTCATTTTTCATAAGTTTGTATGCACAGACATCTGTTGTGTGCATTATTGGCAGTATTACAAGGCTTTTTTAAATAGTGTTTATATCGATATCGGAATTATATCGTATCGCCCGAAATGAAGAAATATACCGTGATATTAATTTTGGTCATATCGTCCAGCCCTACCTGTTCCTAAAATCACAGACATAAATAAACAATAGGGATGGGCGATATGGGCTTTAAAATATATCACGATAATTTCTGGTATTTATTGCGTATTGTATTTATAACGATATCACTAGCTATGTTTACATTTACCTATTTTTATGCGCATTTTAGAATATTGCATAAAAAAAGCGCTGGATGGAAACGCCAAGATGTGCATAAAATCTAAAAATGCGCATAAAAAAACGTATAGCAGCGGACCGATCGTTTCGTCTGCTCACTCTGAGGCGCAAGTAATTTATCATATATGAAAATTATTATATTCAGTGGCTTCTCCTAGTTTTCTTAGTGATATTTAGTGCCAGTTTATCAGGATGTGATGATTTTGTTCTCTTTGACTGGAAACGGTGCTTTATTCGCAAATGTTTCAAGCGATATTCCAGTTTTGCGATTAACTTACATTTTCGTTACATTAAATTCAAATTTTTGGATGGAAACACAGCTAATGACGATAATTCAGGGAAACTTATGCATCCACTAAGAGACCAAAAAAATCCTGTTTCTTTAGAGAAAAGTATTATCTTTCCTATTTTTCCCAAAATAGGGTGTTGTGAGCATTACACACGTAATGTAATGATGTTTAATTCATACTGGAAGCCAGAGGGCGCTCTTGCGCAGAAACTCCACATGCATCGCAGAAGTAATAGCACTGACGACGCTCAATAATGCTGCTCATTGTTATATGGATGCATATAAATTAATTATTAAATCAATTTTGTGTTTCATTATGTACTTTATTAGTATATACTAATTAATATTTTCATATTATATACTAAAAATCATGTTTATTTTAACTACATTTTTACTGTATTCTAGTGGCAACAGCGTCCATTTACCTTGTTCTGGGTGGTGAAGGAGACCTGGAACGAGAAGATGATGAAGACGATGAAGAACACGAGCTGGAGTTTGAGCGCCAGTATCCGCATTCATAGCCCCGCCTCTTCAGCCGTCCGCGGTCCAATAGGCTCGGAGAGTGGGAGGAGAAGTGCAAGCCCCGCCCCCTCAGAGACTCCGGCTCCTCGAACGCCTCCATCCTGCAGGGGGAGCTGTCAGGAGACAGCAGCACTGTGTGTGCAAAAGACGTATTTCCGCCCTCAATCCCGCAGTAGTCGTGGTCCAGGAACGCTCGAGCGGGATTCAACGCAGGAGTGAAGGTGGGAAGTGATGGTTTTGAATGAGTTTTACTGCGTGGCAGTGGGCGAGGTTCGATAATCTGAATGGTTTTGCTGGGCGACGGCTTGATGGATTCATGTTTTGTCCCTTTGACCGACGCCAGGGGCCTCCAGATCTGATGTGGAGGTGTGCCGGGTGGAGTTAGTCCTGGAGAAAAGAAAATAATAATCAAAATAGTCAATGACACAAGCAGACTAAAGTCAGCTTGAAAAGTTGCATTATGCTAATTAGCACATGCATGTGCTATTTAAAGTGCACTTCCATAATGTACTTAATGTGCTCTATTTTCACGCACTAATTTTGTACTTAATATACTAAAAGTGATTCTTTAGTACTTCTTAAGATCGACTAAGTGTACTCAACTGTGCTATATGAAGGCTAAATACAAATAAAAGGTCAACATGAGTTTCTCTAAAATATTAGCCTATATGGTTTTATATGAGGTGTTGTAGACTTGGCAAATTCATTTTTCATAAGTTTGTATGCACAGACATCTGTTGTGTGCATTATTGGCAGTATTACAAGGCTTTTTTAAATAGTGTTTATATCGATATCGGAATTATATCGTATCGCCCGAAATGAAGAAATATACCGTGATATTAATTTTGGTCATATCGTCCAGCCCTACCTGTTCCTAAAATCACAGACATAAATAAACAATAGGGATGGGCGATATGGGCTTTAAAATATATCACGATAATTTCTGGTATTTATTGCGTATTGTATTTATAACGATATCACTAGCTATGTTTACATTTACCTATTTTTATGCGCATTTTAGAATATTGCATAAAAAAAGCGCTGGATGGAAACGCCAAGATGTGCATAAAATCTAAAAATGCGCATAAAAAAACGTATAGCAGCGGACCGATCGTTTCGTCTGCTCACTCTGAGGCGCAAGTAATTTATCATATATGAAAATTATTATATTCAGTGGCTTCTCCTAGTTTTCTTAGTGATATTTAGTGCCAGTTTATCAGGATGTGATGATTTTGTTCTCTTTGACTGGAAACGGTGCTTTATTCGCAAATGTTTCAAGCGATATTCCAGTTTTGCGATTAACTTACATTTTCGTTACATTAAATTCAAATTTTTGGATGGAAACACAGCTAATGACGATAATTCAGGGAAACTTATGCATCCACTAAGAGACCAAAAAAATCCTGTTTCTTTAGAGAAAAGTATTATCTTTCCTATTTTTCCCAAAATAGGGTGTTGTGAGCATTACACACGTAATGTAATGATGTTTAATTCATACTGGAAGCCAGAGGGCGCTCTTGCGCAGAAACTCCACATGCATCGCAGAAGTAATAGCACTGACGACGCTCAATAATGCTGCTCATTGTTATATGGATGCATATAAATTAATTATTAAATCAATTTTGTGTTTCATTATGTACTTTATTAGTATATACTAATTAATATTTTCATATTATATACTAAAAATCATGTTTATTTTAACTACATTTTTACTGTATTCTAGTGGCAACAGCGTCCATTTACCTTGTTCTGGGTGGTGAAGGAGACCTGGAACGAGAAGATGATGAAGACGATGAAGAACACGAGCTGGAGTTTGAGCGCCAGTATCCGCATTCATAGCCCCGCCTCTTCAGCCGTCCGCGGTCCAATAGGCTCGGAGAGTGGGAGGAGAAGTGCAAGCCCCGCCCCCTCAGAGACTCCGCCTCCTCGAACGCCTCCATCCTGCAGGGGGAGCTGTCAGGAGACAGCAGCACTGTGTGTGCAAAAGACGTATTTCCGCCCTCAATCCCGCAGTAGTCGTGGTCCAGGAACGCTCGAGCGGGATTCAACGCAGGAGTGAAGGTGGGAAGTGATGGTTTTGAATGAGTTTTACTGCGTGGCAGTGGGCGAGGTTCGATAATCTGAATGGTTTTGCTGGGCGACGGCTTGATGGATTCATGTTTTGTCCCTTTGACCGACGCCAGGGGCCTCCAGATCTGATGTGGAGGTGTGCCGGGTGGAGTTAGTCCTGGAGAAAAGAAAATAATAATCAAAATAGTCAATGACACAAGCAGACTAAAGTCAGCTTGAAAAGTTGCATTATGCTAATTAGCACATGCATGTGCTATTTAAAGTGCACTTCCATAATGTACTTAATGTGCTCTATTTTCACGCACTAATTTTGTACTTAATATACTAAAAGTGATTCTTTAGTACTTCTTAAGATCGACTAAGTGTACTCAACTGTGCTATTCTGGGGAAAAATGTATTTAGTCACTTGTAGTACACTTGAGTGCACTAGTGTATGAAAGATGGGTTAAAGTGGTAACTAAGTACATTATTAAATACAGAGATAGTATATTAAAAGCACATTTTAGTTAATATTCATGTTGTCCCAAAATAGCACAGTTGAGTACACTTAGTCGATCTTAAGAAGTACTAAAGAATCACTTTTAGTGCATTAAGTACAAAATTAGCACTTTACAAATATCATTCATTCCTCGTTTATGAGCTGATTTCCAAAAGCCATTAAGGAACTGTAGGGTTGATTATAATAGTCTCAGTGAGTGTTTAATGGCTCTGCTTTAATAACACTGGGACCGTGTTCGTCTCTGACTGCATTAAATCTGTGAATATATCGTCTTCTGTCCCGAGGAGACGAACACGGACAATCAATTCAATCTGAAAGCAGAAGGCAAGACGAGCTTTTATGGACTGAAAATGATTCAGTGCTGATAAAGCACACAGTTCTTATCTGACCTAGGGTTGGGTATCGTTTGGGTTTTTTTCGATACCGGCGCCAAATCGATACTTTTAAAACGGTTCCCAAACGGTGCCTGAACCGATACTTATTAAAAAATAAATTAATAAAAAAATCCCCCAAAAAATGATGGATTGGCCATTAGAACAGAAAAAGAATAGAGAGTGCAAATGTTAGAGGGTCAAGTTTTTAAAATAAATAATAAATAATAAAATTAGAAGTAGCATTAGAATAGAGAGTGCTAGAGTTAGAGGGTCAAATGAAGATGAAAGAGATGTGTTTTCAGACGTTTCTTGAAAATATTAAGGACCCAGCTGCTTGGATTGAGCTGGTCACCAGGAGGGAAC